GGGTTTCTCTTCCGAGTTGCTGCATCGTGGTGGCCGTTCTGGCCTCCGCCATCGACGGGCGGCCTCACTTCCCGCGAGGTACCGCCGCCCCGTAGTGAGGGGCAGGTTCCGTCGCTGCCGCACCTGCCCACATTGTCCTCTCAGACTAAAATAATAACACGTCCAGGTAATGACACCTTGCACCTGAGCTGCTTTCATCCTCCTGCCTCAAAGCGCTCTGCAAGCATGACCTCATTCATAAATCCTGAGCTGGGCCGCGGCTTCTGGGCTGAGCAGGCAAAGCTCCACCCAGTCGTCGCCAATCAGCTTCTCAGAAGCCAACTACTGATGGAAAGTTTCCACCTCTCACCACCACCACCACCACCACCACCACCACCGATCGGGACAGGGCAATATGGCGCCTGGTCTCCACGGCCCTCGTGCGGGCCGCAGTGACCACACCCCAGTGCCCCGCTGGGCTCGGGGACCTGGTCTCCCAGGCCTCTCTGAGGACCTCCCTCAGGGCAGCGCCCCAGAAGGGCAGACATTAGCGAAGCCCCTGGGCACAGGAGACAGCAGGTTTGACAATGCGGGCATCTCCCTGAGAACATGTTGGTTCAGACCCAGGGGCTCCCACGGCCCGAAATGCCTCTGCCCGGGGAGATGTGGCTGCTCCCCGTCCTGGCATGTTTGACGCCTGTGCGCACTTGTGAAACTGGAGCACCCCACGGTGACAGCACTTCCTCATTCTAGGGCTCCCTGGCAGCATGGCTGCTGACGGGTCACTTTTGTTTTCACCTCGCAATTACGGGAAGGGAAGGGCCGTGCTGGACTCCGGCCACTCTCCAGGCCCTGGGCCCTGGGGTGCAACTGCAGCCAGAGGAGACCCACCGGTCTGGGGCAACCTGCCCTGCAGAATAAACAAACAAACAAAAGGGGGTACACTCCTCCTAGTGCCCGAGGCTGTTTTCCTTCAGCCCATAAACATTGGGTGTGTCTTTTCCTTATTTGTATACATTTTTTAAAAATACAGTCAAGTTTTCCAGTTGGAGACTTAAGTTCCTCTTGGCCAACATCAAAACTGCTTGCTTTTTCAGAGTCTCGTGTCCTGCGGCTCACCCAGGTAAAACACGCTGTGATTCGTGTTGCAGGTTCAAAACTCAGGGAGTTTTTCAGGCAGAAATTCTCACAGTGAATCTCAGCAGCATTTACCTGCCCGGCCCCTGTGCCCCTTTCTCACTCTGCTTAAGCAGACTCCCCCAGATTCCCAAACAAGTCTTGAAGGTCAAATCCTAACCCAGAAGGCGGACACTCCGCCTGCAAACATGGCAGAGTCACAAACCATCTTGGCTGTTCAGTGTGCCCCGGTAGCCACACTCTCTCTCTTCTAGACGGAGGAGATTTAGGAGAATGAAAGATCTGTCGGGTCAACTGATTTAAGAACCAAGATGGGCGTGGGGCATCGTGACTGAGGACATCTCCCCTTGAGGTCCTATGCCGCCACGTGAACACCGTTTACTGTCTCCAGAGCGCACCATTTTTAATTAAAAAAAAAACAACAACATAGGAAGAGGCTGCTTGGCCCTGGGCGGGCGGCGAGCAGGGGGAGGCGGCCTGGAGGGGCCCTCTCGGTTTCAATCAAGGGGGGCGGGGTAGAACTGCTAGAAAGTTAAAAATAAATAAATAAATAAACAGTTCTGAGGCTTGAGCAGCTGCAGCGGCTCCGTCTGTTTTCTATTTTGATCGCTGTTTCTCGAGATGACCACATCTTTCAGAGGAAATGAGTCAAAGCCGCTCCGTCTCGCTTTTCCAGCTGAGCGTGTTCCGTCTCAATGAAGTAATGAATGAACTTGGCCGCCCCACCCCCCCGCGACTACGGCGAGCGCCGGCGCCTCGGCCAATCAGCAGGCACTCGGGGTTTTCGAGTTGCGTTCAAACCGGCCCGCGGGAGGCCAATCGGCGCGCGCGGCCCCGCCC